CTACTTTTAAAGAACGCAAAGTGTAAAGCAGTACCGCCATACATTTTCAAAGAAAGCGGTCGAGCCACGTCCAAAGAATCTAACCAATTATGAAGAAGATAAATTCAAGTGATCAACTTCCTGCAGCGCCGCATGAAGAAAATTCACCATAACGTTTACTGTTTAATCTTTCTGCGTAGTGTCATTGCAATATTCTAGTTATGAAGAACTCAAACTGAAAAACAGTACAGTAATGGATCGGCGAATTGGCGCAGGCAAACTCAGACGCTATTTCATCACAAGGAGCAAAGAGTGAAGGCTTTCACTCAGTGAACTGTCCAGTTCGCTGCATGGACAAACTCTTCAAAAACTGTACCCTGTATGTAAAGAATCAATTTATTTCTAACAGTGCATCTACAAGGCATTTTTTATCTTTAGTGCCTTTGCAATATTCGTTTTGAAGCGAACTCAAATCGAAAAGCAGTACCTTAATACATATCTGGAATAGGTAAACTTCAAATGCCAAAACAACCAATCACATTACCCTGAATGAAGGGCGTGTCCCAAAGGTATATCCCTTTTGTTAAACCGCCCGTCGCATGAGGAAATTCGCAAAAAAATGTGCCATGGATTTTAATTTTTTTCAATACAAGTCTAAAAAACACATTTATATTCTATCGACCATTTCAAAAGAAATCATCTAGGACAAGACACCTTATTCGTCGGTTGTGTGTCTGATGTTTTGCAGTGAAAGGCGACTTCATTTGAAGCGACATTGTTATTCATTTTCGGTAAAGTGAAAAGTGAAACCTTTTATAAACCTTTATCCCTCTTCCTTTCTGTTTTTCGGTATTTCTTTGGTCCCTGGCTACGCCCAAATTAATAACCAAACGTTTGATTGGCCCACTGCACTGCGAACGTGTTAAGCACGATCGTAGCGGTAAGCAACAATCATTAGTAATTAGAACCGACCCACGGTTTATGGCGGTGAGAAGTTGAAAGAGGACGAAAAGCAATAATGTTTAAGGTCGACTCAGTCAAGTTTCTTCTCTATGCCTTCAAGCTCTTGAAGAATGAAAAAATAGCAAATATCTTCGATAAGCGATTTATAGTGACTCAAAAAAGGAAAACACTACGTAAACGAGGTTTCGAAAATGAATACAAATACTGTTGCGATGAATTTCTCGAAGAATTATCACTTTTTGGGGGGCTATGGATCAAACATAAGGAAAAGAGTTTTATCTGATATCCAGACTACAGCGCGAGGCGGTTTAAAAAACGAGACGTTATCGACACGGGAGTCTGTACACTTGATAAAGTTTTGCGGTATTTGGAGACCATATGAAGAAGAGAGACTATTACAAACCTTGTAACTAAGGGATCACCAGAAATCATTGCATTAAGTAAATGAAAGGTAAATGAATCATGGACAATGAAACTGCTGTTTATGTTGAAGACAGGCCACAACGTAAAATCATTCCCATAACGATAACGAATCGATGGTCTCTTTACCTGACATAATGTTTAAAGTCATTAATGGTTGTCAACGAAAGGACTAAGGTCGCCAGTTAAACACAGAATAACCAGGAAAGCTTAGGTAGGTAGTCTGGCAAGTCAAGTTAAAATAATTGTCAGTACTAAGCATTAATTAGGCAAAAAAGAAAGTCACGTAATGTCCAATCCGCCAAAGGAGTCTCAGCCTACCTAATATACAGTTGATGATTGCTGTTTAATTACCAGAAAGTGCCTTTGGAAAATTACAACCACAACAACGACAATTTCTTTCAAACTATCATTATTAGACTACAACACTTGTAGCCCGCTCCAAGTTTTAGCATAGTCGAGGCAGGCACAATTTATTTAGAACTGAAAAAAGCGTAAGTGTATTCCATTTTGCTTATATTTCTTTAATGAATTCAATTATGCATAATTGTACCTAACAAAGAGCAATTTTCTATCCACCAATGATGATCTTTCCCCTTGATTGATTTAAAGTTCATTAAATGACAAATTAATGCATCGGATAAGCGGTGTTGCGGAACAGAACTAATTAAGTAATACCTTTAAAGGTATTTTCAAAATGCCCTTAATTATTTGTATTGTGTCGCAATAAATACAATTTTCAATGAACCAATGAGGTAGACGCAACGAAGCCATACGCTCGTCTCCTACCAATGGGGTGGGTTACACGATATCCGTGAAGTAATTAGGGTTAGATTACTTTTGCATTTGACAAAACTGATAACCAGTCGTGAAACTAAAGCAGCGCATTTCGGCAACACTGACGAGGTTAAAACCAATACCAAGAAGAAAAATGTCAACGGATGAAAAACACTCAACACTTCAGGAAACTAGTGGGCAACAAGGAGTCACTGAGCCAAGCAACAGTGACTCTCTAGCTTGGTGTGAGCACAATGAAATACAAAATCTGCATGACGCTCCACGGCGCAAACGACGAAAGAGGTTTTTAAAGGCCGACAAAGATTGCTCGCATGCGTCTCAGCATGGAGAGGTATACCCTAACTATGATGTCCACAGTGATTTTGATGACGTGTTTACGACGGATCCTGGAATCAGAGAACCAACAAAAGAAGTGGTCAAGGACAGCCGGATCATGTTTAACACCCCATTTTCTCAGCACACAAGTAGAGGTATCGATAGCGAAACTGGCTGCTTGGGTTTAACTCCGGTTTCAGACTCTCCTGTTGGCCAGTTAATAAGTGATATGCAAAGTTTTACTTTTAAGGGATCAATGAAACGCTCAGCGTCCCAGAGACGGAAACGAAAGAAGCGCGCTAGCTGAAGATTATTCGGAAAGAGAGCAATTGTTACCATACAGTGGAACCTCGATATAACGAAGTGTCAAGGGAATGGAAAAATTTGTTCGCTATAACCACGAGGTTTGGTTATTCAGGCCATTCGGCTTTCCCCGATAGCGGAGGGGAGGGGTGGTTAAGGAGCTGATTCCTGTGTAAACATGGTGAGGACAGTCTTCAACAAATTAGAATTAAACTCCTAATTGAGACCTTGGATCTGGGCTTGACTGAAGCTTAATTTGACCCTTAAAAATACCATTACAAAAACGGAGCCAAATAAGAGCTAGGGTAATTTTAACGGCCAGCAATAAGAACGCTTGGGTCGATTGCTTTATAAGTAATCGGTTCCTGACTTTCGTTATTTCTTCAAGTACATCTCTTTCACATGACGTCACGGCGGCCCTATTGGTGTCTCAAAAGGATGCAACGGGCGGCCATGTTGGTGTTCCAAACCAATCCTGTCGGAGTTGAACTCTTCCCTTATGCAAACGCTTCTCTTTTTGTTCCAGTTGATCTGCACAGATGCTGGCAAAGTGAATGAAAACGCTCTATAAAGCCCCCGGTCGCAGGCCCATGATTTGTAAACAGGAATTTTTATCCTTAGATATATGCTTATTTTTTTGTATGTTTTTATAAATCTTGTTTGGTTATGTTCCGACTACAGTTGAAGGCTGCACTTTTGAATTTATTTGAATAAAATAAAGTATGTGTTCTAATCAGACTGTTTCGAGACGTTTTTTTTATTGCGCTCAAAAACGCCACGAATACTTTGGGATCTAAGCACTGAACCCTGTTCGACCTAAGAGCTGTGTAGTTGTGGGCCCGATCGAATGTAGAGCATCGAATTTTTACGGTGAATTGATGTCGATGAAAACTTTGAAGTGTAAAAAAGATTATGGAATTTTAAAATGTGAACATGTGGAGAGATATGCTTCAAGAAGAGTGGAGAATGATAAAAATGTTAAAATTGAGTGTATCTGTTCTGGTTCAATTTAATCCTTGGTTTAAATTTTACTTTCCTTTGTTTTAGGGTATGGTAATGAATGATTAAAAGTTAAAACTAAGGATAAAATTGAACCACAACATCACATAATTTTCGGCATACAACAATACCATGCGAAGTTGTTTTAGCTCAGCATCGGGCTTATTCCCAACCAGGATTTTGTGCAAGAGATTTGGCTTCTAAGTTTTTCAGGGGAGGATCTGGGGGAAAGGGGTTCCTGAATACCCATGCAGGTTAGTACACTCTACAATAACGCCCTTCTCACCTGGGTACATTGTACACTCCCCATTTTCCCTTCTTACAACTAATACCCCTTACCATACTTCGTATATTTGGTGAACAACCCTACTACTCCCCCAATCAAAACACAAGATTCTTCCTTTGTTTCTTCAAGGGTCATCGATCTGATCTGGTCTGATATGTAAATAATCAATTAAAAAAAGCCAAGAGGGTACACTGTACGAATATCAAGATATAAATTGTAGCGTCGAAGAAGGACAACAATATTTATTCGGGTATCTAAACATCTAGAAAACGAATTAAAGAACTTATCTTTTAACGCTCTTCGCTTTGCTTGGGAAATTGACGAGACACTTCTTGTTGTGTTTATATATTACTTGAAACTCCTTTTATTATCTCCCAAAACAAAAAAATCCATTAGTAGCATCCATTTAAATGAAATCATTTAGCGTTTGCAAGGGATAAGTTAAAAAAGAAAACAGGAAATAATACGAAAGGTTGCAAGAAGGTCATTATTTGAATGACCGCCATGTACAATTGTCGAAAAATACCGTAAAAGCGTGTGCTCTTGAAGAGACAACAAGTAAGTTGTTATCAAACAATTGCGAGTACGTGTAACTTACGTCAGCGGAAGCGGAGGGCCTCGTCTTCAAAAGATATGCCATATCTGACGATTACAATGCAATTTACCCCAGGAAAGCCGTGAAAAGCACCAAAACCACAGGAAATACAAGAGTTCCAATGGCTAAATCAAGCCAGGAGGTTTATTTTACTTCTTCTCTGAGTATCCTCGCAGTATTAATCGTGTTATCCATCGTTTGCGTTTGCTGTTTGGTTTGCTTCAACAGAGCTCTTCGGACGTATCCTAACTGGTTGATAGTGTCCCTTGCTGTATCCGATATTTTAACAGGGGGAGTTTTACTACCTGTTTACCTCAATGAGCCTTACGCTATATCGCCATCATGAAACCTCTCGAATACCCGTATCGGTCACCAGTGATGTTCAAAAGAGCTTTGGTACTTTCGTGGCTGTTTCCAATAATCTACTCTCTACTTCCGCTGTTATGGAACACCGATCCGACGCGAGGTATTCATAAGGCGTACATCATATGTTTACAGTTCTTTGGTATTGTTGTTCCATATATCTTCATTACCTTTGCCTATGTGAGAATTTTCAGACAAGTCCGAGGCAGCCTAGCAATGATGAAAGACTTTCGAATTGATCCACTTCGAAGGACCAAGAACGACATTGATCCACTTCGAAGGAACAAGAACGACATTGATCCTCCTCGAAGGACCAAGAACGACATTGATCCACCTCGAAGGACCAAAAACGACATTGATCCTCCTCGAAGGACCAAGAACGACAAGAGAAGCACTTCATCAGAAGTCCAAGTTGCCAAAGTGTTTTGCATAATTTCGGTAGCTTTTATCCTCTGTTGGTTACCGATTATCTATATTACAACTGCCAGTACTATATTGAATCGTCTTGATATTGTCCCTCAAGCTCTGGTGACCGTTTCATTTTTCACCATAGTGATCAGCTCACTTGTAAACCCTCTCATTTACGCTTTTCTTAAGCCAGACTTTAAGTTGGCTATTCGGACTGTATTTTCGAGGAGAACTCGCGCGCAATCGCGTGAGTCCTCTTCTGGAGTAAACTTGGTATTAAAGAAAAGCGAAGAAGGATCTTGAACAGGACATAGTTCATGTATCTAAGAATTTAAGAGAAATCCGTGGTACACGATGACTAACAAAAAAGTCACCAACGCGGTTGGTATATGAAGGAGATAAAAACAGCTTACGAGAAAGGCTCGATGTACCGTGCGAAAACGAATCAAAGAGGCAATTAAAGAAAAAAAACGTCCGTATAGACACGGCTGATTTACAATACAAACATCTTACATGTAGGTTTGGCGCAGTTTTCATGTGAAGACTTACGCGGACAATTAACAGTCCCTAAACCCATTCATTTTGGGGGATGTGGCATGTTCCATGTCTACTCAGCTTAGAAGTTGCCCAAATGTTGTCACTGTTGTTAACTAATGTTTCGTCAATAAATAATCGTTAATATCAATTTGCAGGTTTTTAAATCAGTCTTGCATTTCAGGAATTTATACCAATCACCGAGTGATGACGTATATCAATGTTCACGAACATCGCTGCAGCAGCAATAGGAACTACAAAAGTAAGAGCCATAAAGCTACGTAAATTATCAGCTAAGGCTTCTAAAAAAATTAAAATGGTATATTTAATAATTGTAGCTACCTCCTCCTCAGGCGCTTCTTATGACGCATAGAGGCGAGCGCGAAACGAGAGTGACTGGTGACGAAATAAAAGTTTTCATCGAGAGAAAAAGAGACGCCTGGGTACGAGGCAGTAACTGTAGTTAGTTTTGTTGTACCGCAAAACAAAAGCCATAAAGTACTGCCTTTAAAATAGAAAATCTCGACGGTTGGGAAATTCTATAATCAACTAGTCATAAAGTGCAGCTGGTTCCATGGACGATGGAAGATAATGTAGGGGTAAATCTAGATGAGTTTTTTTGGTCTCGCACTTGATTGGTTGAGAAACGAAGCGACATTTTTGACCTAAAAATATGGGATTATCAACTTAAGGCATCAGGAACAAACCACGTTTGCTGAGACAAAAGCCATAGGCAGACATACATAAAATAGCGGCTGCAGGTTGAAAGGATAAGAAGTATTAAAGAGCAACGCCACATAGAAACACAGATTGTTTTTGAAAAATGTTATATATTTGCGGTATTTTACCCTATGTATCTACTTGCAGTGTAATGTCGAGCAATATACTGGTTACAAAAAAAATCATGCAATAAAATAAGGACACACTTAAAAAAAGTTCCTTTCACAAGTCAATACATATGCAGCGATGGAAGATCGACACTTGCTGGCTCGTTCTTGGGTCATGCATGTGTTTTAAAACAACAACTCTTAGGGAAATTAACCGAAACTGCAGCTACTGATTTCGCGACCTCGGACTGTCAGAAGTCTTTTTGAAATTTTAAGAATACTGAGTGCATTGTATTCACAGAAGACTACGTTCAGCATACTTAATTTCAGTCACGCGAATTACATTTGTCCATGAAATAAAAGACCATTAAGAGCGCATTGTTTGTCTGCCCTTAATCAAAAATCGACACCACTGGACCGAGTAGCTCCTTCGCCGCCCACAAGAGCTTGCTGCCACGTCCTTTAAAATACATCTTCGCAATATGTCGAGGCTTCGAGGGTACAAAAAAAATACCAGGTTATTATGAAGAAGCAGTAAAAACATTTTCTTTCTCCGTGTCTGTTGCCTTTGTGGGAGAGCTTCCTTCCTCGCTGGATGAGCTACCTCTGGGCCCGCCTTCAGTCTTGCTATTCTCAGCGCCTCCATTCTTGCTAGCCAGCGGTGCTTTCTTTCCCTTGCAGCTACACTTCAGGTTTTCCTTGATCAACTTGTTTACTTGCTGATGTGAAACAAAGAAAAGAGTGGCTTGATGAAACGTTTTTCTCTTGGATTTCGTAAAAAAAACTGTTTCCCTATTGTCTTCACCGCATGTTACAGTTTTATCATAGCCCAGAATCACGCGACATATCCGGGAACTTTAAGCGCACTCCGAGCGCCAAATTTGAAACGATGATCAGCGAACCGAGGCCAAAACACTTAATATGATATTAAAATTTCTCATACAGAAAGAAGAATAAAATAACAAATAAGAGAAAAAAAAAAAGAAGTGAATGACCATGAGAGAAGTGTACAGTGGTCAGAGGAGCATAGTTTTCGAGCTAATCACTTTTATATCATGAATGGAAATACTTAATATGTGCGCTAGATGCCATGTCAGCTATGGAGGGTTATGTGAAACAGTCATTTTACGTCGTGTCCTTTGATAGTTAAGCATAATTCGCTTGCACTTCTTTTTGAGCTGGTTTAGCGTTTTGAGTGCTAGTAGCAATCTGCCTCCAAGTTTACTTTTAAATTATGACCGTAAATCACACACTTTACGAAACTTTGTACCAATGTGAAGGTCCGTTAACAAAAATCGAAAGGGAGATGTAAATAGTGTCCTGTAAAGGACTCAAAGTACTGTAACAAATAAGGTTTATGAATCTTTGCAATTTTCGCAGTTCTTTTCGAGTCCTTGTAACTTCTCTTACAGGATCATGTAAGGACATCAGTATTAAATTAAGGACAGTTATCAAAACTCCAAAAATTTGTACGGATGCTATGCAAAATCGACGGAGCAATGCGAATGAGGTCCAAAGAATGTCATTGATAAAACTGAGAACTTGCGCAAACCGCAAGTCCTACAGTTTCAATATTTTACGTACACTTTATAAAATCTGCGTGGATTGGATAATTTAAAGGAGGAATACATGAGTTCGACACGCCCCTTGAACGTTCAGCAAGTTGCAAAATTGGTGCGACTTGTCGCGGGAACAGAACTTCTCCAAAATTTGCGTTACAAGAGACTTTTCCCCGGGAAATAACCATGGAAAAAGGCCCCTGTATCTAGACCTTTAGTGTCTTCCCACCCCTAAAGGGCTTCACTGAAAACCGTAGAAAAGAAAACTTGTCTAAAGAACATTACTTACTTCCCTTAGGGTATGGTTTTCTCTCTTAATCGCTAATAAATGCTGCACTTTCTGCTGTGGGTTTTGGTGTCCTTTTAGCCTCGCGTTTTCCTCTTCAATTTTCTGTATGGCCTGCGAATGAAAACAAATCGAGACAGGTCAGAAATTGCAAAACACCCTTCATAACTGTATTCTTTGTAACGTATGAAAGGGCCCGTCAATAGAATGGAAGCATCTCCTTCTCTTTTTTGATAGGCTTATATGTTGAGGGAAATTTGCGTTTCAAAATCGACTAGGCTTATATTGCGAGGGAAATATGAGTCTCAAAATCCAATGGACTAGCTTATAGTTGGAAGGAAATTTATGTCAGTAATTTGCAGGAAGTTTTTCCTGAAACTCGCCTTGAGGACGTACATATTTCTAAAACTCAGCCATGCAGGTACTTTGTCTGTATGGACCGAGGAAATTGAAGCCAAGACTGGAGAGTGAACTAAGCAATGCAAACAGCAATATACTGTGACACTTTTTGACCGTAATCATTTAACACACGTAATAGTTCTTTTTGCAAATGCAAAAATTTATGTGTTACTGTACAGTTTTTGCTTTGTTTCATTTTGGATTTGAGGACAATTTCCGAGTACAGGGCCCCGGGGTCTTGGGGGGCTTATGCATGGAGAGGTTATTTTCGGGATTTTACGGTATATTTTAATTTGATGGAAAATGAATGAATTGTCGCCTTCAGTGAAAGGGGCTGTGTCAAGGCTGTCTAGTTAATTTTGTTTTAAATCAGTGCTTGGTCCATAAAGAATTTATTATATGGCCAGAAAGAAAACTTTTTCTTACGGGACCAACGCGAGAAATCCCGAGCGGCGCTCATCTTGCCCACTCGGTTAGCCAATCAGAATGCGGGGTTCGCTTTATTTCTTGCCCGGTCGCGGATTCAGCCATATAATAAGTAGCCTGCATGACAGGCGCTTTATGAGCCAAGCGAGGCGAACGCGGCATTTTGCGCGAAGCGCGAGACCTGCGCAAAATACCCCGTTCGCATCGCTTGTCTCACAACGCGCCTGTCATGCAAGGTATATGATAAGGCCAATTATCAACCACACAGCGAGTTTAACCATAATGTTAAACAGAAAAGTACGCAGAGAGGAAAGAAAAACCCTACCTTCTCCATTTTGAATTTCTCCTCCATAGCGGATTCCAGTTTAGATTTCAGTTGTTCTTTCTCTTCAAACCCTTGTTTCTCCACCATTCTCGTCCTGTGAAAAGAATTGACGATCAATACAATTTTTGCAGATCAATAATTTCTTTATATAATTTATTGTGTTAAGCAGAGGGAATGTTGCGGGC